TACCAAAAGGAAATAGCTGATGTTCAACCATTTCAAGAGGTAGCATATGATCAAGAGCCAATGATACTTAAGGAAGAAATCCAAGGTGCATTGAAGGAATCGGCACAGAACAAGGCACCAGGAATTGATGGAATAAAAATTGAAATCTTTCAAGAAAGTGAGGTGACACAGGAGGCACTCACTCATCTTTGCCAAGAAATTTGGAAGACAACTATCTGGTCGACTGATTGGTTGTTGTTGTTGTTAAGTGCCGTGGAGTCGGATTGGTAGAGGTCCATATTTGTGCCCATTCCAAAGAGAGGTGACCCAACGGAATGCGGGAATCATCGGACAATCTCTTTGATATCCCATGCAAGTAAAGTTTTACTAAAGGTAATACAGAAATGGCTATAATCATACATTGACAAGGAACTTCCAGAGGTTCAAGCCAAATTCTGAAGAGGCCATGGAATGAGGGATATCATTGCTGATGTCCAATGGATCTTGACTGAAAGCAGAGAATATCAGAAAGATGTTTGCCTGTGCTTTATTGACTATGCAAAGGCTTTCGATTGTATGGATCATGACAAGCTATGGACAATATTTGGAAGTATGAGTATTCCTGAACACTTAATTGTGCTCATGAGGAATCTGTACCTGGACTAAGAGGCACTTGTTCGAACAGAACATGGGGACACTGGATGGCTTAATATTAAGAAAGGTGTACGACAGGGTTGTATTCTTTCACCATACATATTCAACCTGTATGCTGAGCAGCATACAGCATAAGTACAGATGGATTGGCCAAGTAGCAGCATCGATGGACTCAAGCGTGGCAACAATAGTGAGGTTGGCCCAAAATTGGGCAGTGTTTCGTTCTGTGCGTAAGGTCGCTTTGAGTTGGTACCGACTTGATGGCACCTAAGAACAACAACAATTCACCTGTATGCTGAGCAAATAATCCGAGAAGCTGGGTTATATGAAAAAAAAACAACAACAAAAAACGTGGCATCAGGATTGGAGGAAGACTAATTAACAACCTGCGATATGCAGATGATACAACCTTGCTTGCTAAAAGTGAAGAAGACTTAAAATATTTATGATGAAGAACAAATACCACAGCCTTTGGTATGGATTGCTTCTCAATGTAAAGAAAACAAAAATCCTCACCACTGGATCAATAAAGAACATTCTTGTCAACGGAGAAAAGATTGAAGTTGTCAAGGACTTCATTCTTCTAAGATCAACTGTCAACACTCACAGAAGCAGCAGTCAAGAAATCAAACAGTGTATTGCATTCGGAAAATCTGCTGCATAAGACCTTTTTCAAGTATTGAAGAGCCAAGATGTCAGCTTGAGGACTAAGGTGCACCTGACCCAACCCGTGGTATTTTCAATAACCTCATATGCATGTGAAAATTAGACAGTGAATAAGGAAGTCTGTAGAAGAATTGATGCTTTTCAGTTATGGTGTTGGAGGAGAATATTGAAAGTGCCATGGGCTGCCCATGGAACCAACAGATCTGTGTTGGAAGAAGTGCAGCTAGTGTGATCCTTGGAGGCCAAAATGGCCAAACTTCGTCTCTCATACTTCTGACCTATTGTCAGGAGGGACCAGTCACTGGAGAAGGATATCATGTTTGGTAAGATGGAGGGTCAAAGAAAAATAAGAAGACCCCCAGCAAGATGAATTGGCCAAGTAGCAGTATAAGTGGGCTCAAGTGTGGCAACAATAGTGAGGTTGGCCCAGGATTGGGCAGTGTTTCATTCTGCTGTGTATAAGGTAGCTATGAGTCGGCACCGACTCGATGGCACCTAACAACAACAACAAACTCCTCAGTTTTATGATTTGTTTTTCATTTGCTTTGTGCTCTTTGAGTTTCTTGTTTAATCTTCCCACACCCTCCGACAGCTCTTCAAAACTCCTCTCAGTAGTTTTTTATACATTCCAACCTGGGAGATCATCTTTCGAGTGAGTTCCTCGTTTTCCTGAAATTGCTTCCTGAGGCCCTCTATCCTACTCAAACCTGACTGGTCACTCTCCATGCCTCAGCTACACACTTGTCACTTAGGACTTAAGTCTTTGTTCTGTGAATGTGCGTACTCTCGTTCCTTTTTGGGCCTTCAGTTCCCTGGGTCCCCAGTGTGTCTATTTATTTATCCCTTCATTTTGCTGTAACATAACCTTCTGTTTATTCTCAGAATGGTTGTTTTTGAGTGCCTTTGAGTCGGTTCCACTCATAACTACCCTGTCTAGGGTTTCCAAGGAGCTACTGGTATGTTTGAACCTCCAACCTTGTAACTCAAACTGACCTTGCAGTCCTGTGCCTTACCCTGTAGCACCACACCTGGACTCCTAAGAATTGTTACTTGGGAAGAAATGTTTGACTTTATATATTTGGAAATCCCTTCCTTCCTGTCTGCTCAGTCATTTTCTACTCCTCTTCCCATTTCCATCGCAAATGTTATAGCTTGAAATTTCAGATGTCTCCTAGCTCACCATAGATAGATTTTTGTGTTTCTCATTCTTCTGTATATTTGAGGCATTTTCAAAAAGAAAAGGAGATATGGGTGTGTTTCCCCCTCACCCACCCACCCAATCTAGAAGGCAAAAATACCATTCTCCTTCCTTTGGTTATGAGCATGGATGAATATTTTCCCATGTACTCTTGTAATCTTTTGATTTTCCTCTGGTGTGAATTACCTATTAATACCCTTCAAAGAACAAATTCTTGAATAATTAGCACAGAACACAGAAGTTCTAATGCTGATGTTCTCACTTGTCTGCTCTGAGATCAGATGGTGCTGGGGTCCCAGTTGACTGGTGTCTACAATTCATTTTCAGATTGCCTCACACCCGTGATGGCTGTGAACAAGCTCACCCAGCAGGAAGTCCCTGTGGTTATCATGGCCAAAGCAGACCTGGAGGGCTCTCTGGATGCAAAAATAGGTAAGTGGCTAGTGCAGTGGAATCAGGGGGATGTATTTTGCAATCTTAAGATCAAAATACAAATCTATTATTGTCAACTAGAAGAACCAGCCTTTGATTCCATGACATTTGTAAAAATGAATGCCCGTTCATGTAACCATCCCTTACTTAAGTACTACTTTTTGAAACCATAGTTAGTATTATGCCTTGCTAATTGGAAAAGCACAGGACTTCAATGTCAGTGGTTCAGATTCACCAGATACTCCTCGGAAACCCCGTACAGGATCACTGTGAGTCAGAACCGACTCGAAAGCACTTAACAACACCACAAATTGCTATTGAGAATAACAAACAAACCTGACCCACAGACCTTGCCCTAGAGCTACTGAGAGTTGTATGTGCAATGTGGGGAACAGCACAATGCAGATGAAAACCCATTTTCAGAATTCATAAAACCAACAGCAGCTCCTGAGCTGAGGGTTCAAAGCACAAATGATCGATGTGGGCTGGGTTTTTGGTGAAGGCTTTGAGGAGGAGGTGAACTTGAGCTATTCAAGAAAAAGAACGTGAAACAGCAGTAAAATTGAAGGCGTATTTAGAACTGTAAATTGGATGTCCTTGGCAGTCTTACTCATTCGTGAGCGCTCTGAACTGTCGTCACATAACAGGAAGTCTGAGACTGAACAAAAGAATGGGAACCAAAATATGGGCCTAACCGAGGTCCCTTGCCTTTAGAATGGGCATGTGCGTCGCTCTCTGTTTTCTAGCATGGCTACTGGAGCGTCTAGCCTGTCTCTACATGCCCAAACCCTGCAGAGAAGGCTGTTTCCACACCTTTATCTCCTAGCACACAGAAGTAGCAATCTTTATAAAAATCCTGTTTTCCTCATGATTCTCAGAGCAGCTTTGACAAAGTGATTTGAAGAAACATCTAAACAAAAAACAGACGTTATGCCATTCAGATCATTCTCTTCTGACCATTTAAACCCAGAAATGTGTTGCTTACAGGAAATAATTCCTTCCGTTACTTTTATGCATTTTATAACGAGTAAAAATTATTAGGGTAATGAGCCAGGATAAACAATAAAAAAAGCTCTTGTTGGTTTAGCTGAGATGGTTTTGTTTGGTTTGCTTTGTTTTGTTTTAATTATTTCTCGTCAATCCACTGATACAATATTGAGAGTTTCGAAGTGGAAAAACAAAATCTGAATTTTCAAACGTTCGTGGAAAATTGTTTTTCCTGTTGTTTTGATTTCTTTCACAGACATAATGAACATTTCTAGATTACTGCTTCTTGTCCTTTAAGCAGAAATACACAGAGGTGAAGTAGCATTTCCTTACAGCATCTCCGCTGTTACAAATGGGTCTCTGGATTCTACCAAGAGTCACACGACTAACACCATGGCCCATTACATTCTTTGTAGGGCATGATAAGTTACGCAGCCTTGATGTTTCCTTTTGAAAGTTATCCCTAGTTAACTCCAAATCATACACTTTGGGATGATAGTAAATGACTCTTTTTCCTTCGTGGCCATTAGTACTTCTCCATATTAATTGCTTATTGTTTGTCCTTACCTTTCAGTATTCTTCAAGTTTACTCTGAACATTTGTTTGTTTTGTTCAATGCTTTTTGTCGGTAATCATGCCTGGAACACCACAAGAGATGCCTGTGGTACCACAGAGCTTTCCAGCATACCACAGAGTTTCAGAACATGTCTTCTAAACATTTAGGGGGAAAAAAACAGAAACAGTTGCTTCTGAGAAGACGCTTATGTGTCAGACTAGAACTGTGCTCCACAGGGTGTTCAGTGCCTGATTGCTCAGACATCTCTGCTGAACTCAAACCATCAACCATTCCTTAACAGTCGAGCACATTAACTGTTTGCACCACCCAGAGACTCCCCAAACACTAAACCACCCTTCTTAGGACCATGCTTGCAAAGGTCTGACTTAACATTCTGTGCACAGTCCTTAGCTTTGTATCTCTTTGTTACCACATAAGGTGTTGTGTGCACCAGAATGTCAACGCATTTGACAGGTACACCTTCAAGCAGGGGCTCCCAACCAGGGATGCGTTTGCTAGCAAGGAACATTTAACAATTTCTGTAGATATTTTGGATTGTTAGAACTCAGGAAGTGCTACTGGTAGGGACCAGGGGTGCTGGGCAGCATCCTACAGTGCACTAGATAGCATCCACAACAAAGGATTATCTGGTCCAAAATGTCATTTGTACCAAGGCTGAGAAACATGCCCTACAGAACCCACAACTGAAAAAGCTGTTTTCATGAATAGCTGAAGCTGAAACTTCAGGCCTCGGCTCCTCTGGATGACTGATTCACTGATGCTCCACTCCATCTCCTCACAGACATATGTGAAGTGAAGAAGAAATGTCTACGCCAAATGTGCTTTTGCCTTTAGAAGCAAAGCACACTAAGAAAGAACACAATTGTCAGTGTCTGACTTCCTGTTAAGTGGAGCTTTCTAGACCCTCAACGAGATGGACCAACACAGTGGGTACACACATGACAATTGTGAGGATGGTACAGGACTGGGCAATGTTTTGTTCTGTCCTACATGGGGTTGCTATAAGTCGGGACCAACTCAACTGCACCTAACAGCAGTGCCTCACCACTCATCTATCCATTTAGCGTATGTCTTGCTGTGATGTTAGAAGCTAGGCACCAGTATTTCAAATACCTGCAGGTCACCCATTGTAAACAGGTTTCAGCAAAGCTTCCAGACTAAGATAGACTAGGAAGAAAGGCATGGAGATCTACTTCTGAAAATTAGCTAATGAACAACAACACTGTCTGACTCACTTCTTTAGACACATCATCAGGAGGGACCAATCGCTAGAGAAGGACATCAGATTGAATGAAGCAGGGGCCCAGCCAGGGCTGGACTATGATGGACTGACGCAGTAGACACAACAGTGGGCTTGGACATGTTGTTAATCATGAGGCTGATGCAGGACTGGACAATGTTTCATTCTATTGTGCAGAAGATCACCATGGGTCTGTCTACCTATCTTAGGACATTCCAAAGGAGCCAGCTTTGTTTCACAGGAGAAAGCCACTGTCCTCCGTCACAAAGGGAACTCACAGAAAAGGCTTTCCCAAAGGCTTGTGGTTTGCTATTTCAGTGACAGAAAGTATTCAGAATTGTATACTTTAGAGTTACAGCTATTTAAGGGGGTTGGGGGTGGGGGGGACAGGGGAAGGAAGTTAAGTAAAAGGGAACAGATCTCTAGGAAATAATCCCAGCGTGAGAAACTGGTAGGTAAGAGCTTCCAAGACTGTTCTCCATTTTCCCAGGGAGTCTGATATGGTTTTGTGAATTTTATAATTAATTAAGACATTTGTTGTTGTTAAGTACTGTGCAGGTCATAGTGACCCTGCACAAGGTTTCCAAGGCTGCAGATCTTTACGGGAGCAGAAAGCCTTATCTTTCTCCCACGGAACAGCTGTTAGTTTCCAACTGCGTACCTTGAGGTTAGGATCCTGATTCATAACCACTACGCTACCAGAGCTCCTTAATTAAGACATAGAGTCTCCTTAAATGAACGAAAGCTGAATGTCAGTACCGTCGATTACTTTGTGATGTGTCAGTTATTTTGTTAAGGAAATGTTTTGTGTTTCTTCCTCTCTGACTAGGAATTCCCAGTACCAGCTCAGAAGACACCATCTTAGCCCAAACCTTAGGTTTGTTCTACTCTGAAGTTATTGAAACTTTGCCAGATGGCACAGAGAGACTGGTCGACTCTGCTGAGGTTGGTGCCCCATACCATGGGCTTAAGAATTTAGTTCTAAAATCATTGACTTGCCTTGAATTTGGTGATACCTGTCTATCAAATGCAAATAATAATTCTTTTGTAAGATCTAGACATTAATTAACTCGAAGTTGAGACCAATCCTAGAAAAAGATAGCATTGAAGTAACAAGTGTTATTTGGGGAATCTTCTGCTGGAGGAAAATTGCCTTTTCCAGTCACACTGGCTCTTTGGAGGAGGCGACTAAAAATGTTCTTCTGAGAGAAGATCCCTGTTCTTCCCAACTGACTTAATTCCACCTGAAATTTAACAGGCGCCGCTCGGAAACCCTCTACAGGGTAGCTATGAGTCAGAACCAACCCAACAGCACTAAACAACAATGTCCAACTCATTTACAAGAATGTGAACAGTGAAATTCTGAGTCATATTTATTTGGTCAAGTTTATCTCATAGTAGGAGCCTTGGCAGCTCAATAGTTGAGTGCCTGACTAGTAGTCCCTGGGTTGGTGGTTCAAACCTACTAGGTGCTCCATAGGAGAAAGATGTGGCAACCTGCTTCCAGACAACTTTAAAGCCTTGGAAACCCTATGGGTCAGTTCTACTCTGTCCTGTAGGGTGGCTGTGAGTTGGAATCACCTTGAAACAGTGGCTATCTCTTGCTAGCTTGGGTGATCCCTCTTGTTGGCTTGAATAAGCAACGCTTGGAGGTGGTAAACCTGGTAGGATTTGAGCCCAACTTCAATGTTGAACTAGACAGAAAATATGACAGAAGACGTAGGTCACAGATGGCGAGACTTGATAGTGGGAAATGGCTTACAGCAGTGATTCAAAATCCGGTCCCTGGACCAGTGTATTGGCATCACCTAAGAGCTGTAGGATCTGAAACCCCCACCCCAAACTAATAAGCTCCCCTAGGTGATTCCTGTAACATTAAAGTTTGAGAAGTATCAGAGCCTGCGTTCTTAAACTTGACTGTCCATTGCATCACCGGGAAAGTCTTTCTTAAAATACAAACTGATGTCGAAGTCCTACTTGTAGGTGTTCTGATGTAATGGGTTTGGGGGGAGGGCTTAGGTCTTATCAGTAATCAGTGCCTCCCAGGTGATTCTAAGGTAGAGTAGAGTTAGGAACTGCAGGCTTAGGGTAATGGTCCCACATATCACTGTCTCTGAGTCATCTGGGAGGTGTTTGCTGACCTCAATCTAGATGATACTGTTTCAACTCCATCTAGAAATCCAAGTTTTTCAGGTTTGGGATCGCCTGGCTAATGAATCATTTTTTAGTAAGTGTCAGAATAAGGAAACGACCAGATTTTTCCATTTATCAGGAGTTCCACTCTGATCTTATGTTTGTACCTTCACTTCATAAATTGTATCCCCAGACATGAGTCATGCTGTACAATATCGATCCTAAGCTCTATTTTCAGACCTCGTTTGAGTAGACTGCCCGGAGGTGGAATAAAGCCAAGCCGCACTCTAGCAGAGCCAAGTCAAGGGGTCTGCATGGGAGCCCCAGACAACTCTCTTGAGGGGCATTCATGGTGAAAATGAGACTTTTGAAGTGCCCACTCATTAATGTAGGACTCTCCGTATTAACTGTGCTTCCTGGCTTCTTTTGGATAGCTTCAACTAGTCTGTTGTGTTGTCTTCTGGCTCTAGACTGAATATACCAGGTAAAGTAATTTTTTTAGTGGATAGAAAGAGCTGGATTGAGAAAGGCTCCTCCCATCCATGAGCTCCTGGAATGTAGGAGAGTCAGTGGCCCATCAAGTAGAGAGGTTTTCAAGGGCTCTTCCTAGTATTTGTATCGTGAGTATATGACGGAGTGCAGAGCAGAGCATATTCTACCCGCAGGAGTTCCCTTGGTACAGAACTCGGTACTTCAGAAGACACTTCATTTACTTCAGACTACTCATGAAAAGGACCAAATAAAAGCTATGTTTACCAACATAGCTCTATTATTTATGCTTCATGCCTCATGTGTGTAAGCTCCTTGAGGGCAGGGAGTATTCCTATTGATCTTTGTGTTCCCCATGCCTGACTCAGTCCTAGCACGTAGTAAGTGTGCAGTATATCTTCATTCAACCAAGTTCAGTGTGTTGCAGTCATACAGTCTTGGTTCTTAAAATTAGTTTGGGTCTCTGAAAAGTGTAAGATACGAGAGAGTTTCACTTCGGCACACTTAGTGTCCTCTTTTGGTGCCTATAAATGTTGTTGTTAGATGCCATCCAGTCAGTGTTAACTCACAGTGACCCAGAGTCCAACAGAAGAAAACATTGTCCAGTCCTGCACCATCCTAACAACTGTTAAGTTTAAGCCCGCTGTTGCTGCCACTGTACCAATCTTGGCTGGGGCGGGGAGTTGGCCTTCTTCTTTTTCACTGACCCTCTTACTTTATCAAGCATGATGT